ATGATCTGCTGAATTTTGTGAACATATGCTTACTAATTTAAAAGTTATAGCATGAAAACTATAACAAGCACAAAATGATTGTGTTTGGTCCCAAGGGACCGAGCCGATACTAAATAAGTTAAGGCTAAGAGGGAATATTAGATTTACGTAGCCCAAAACATGGACTTTGACTTGTTAGTATTTTTCAATTTAGCTCAACTTTTAACTAAAGATCTCAAGCTTTTTTTTCAAGAAACCTGTGTTTCTTCTATAAATATTTATTCCTGAGGAAATATTCTCAATTCCAAAATAAATGTCCCTCAATTTGAAATTTTATGGGTTTATACTTGTACAGAGTTTAACATAATTTGCATAGTCCGTAGAGTGGACTGACTCCGTACTGGAGGAGGAATGTTCACTATAATTCCAAATTTATTAGTGTATCTAAAAAAAAAAATGTGGCATGCTTTTATTCAAATGTACAATTCTGTTGTAGACAAAAAATCGGATGTTCAAGCATATTTGAACTCAAGGTATGTCTGAATTACCAATGTCAGTCCGACTCCTACACTGACAAGTCAGATTAAAAGGTGGTTTTTATGTGAAGAATAAAAATACTTCTTTCGAACCTACAAATTGTATATTGCATTTTCATAACCTCTGAAATATATCTTCAGTTTTTTCAGTATCCTCGTATATTGTACCTGGTATTTACTCACCTCAACCACTAATTGTTGCTAAGTAGGGTAAAATGAATAGTTCATAATTCAGACGTCCAATTCATGATACCATATTAAATTAATTAATTATTAAAAACATACTTTTTATTGTGAGTATGTTAGACATATGGAATGACTACAGTTGAAAGAGGTTTATACCCTTAACATTATTGTGGATAAAGGAATCATACTGTAAAATTAAATTATTGCGTTAGGCATTTGATTTACAATAAAAAATTATTCTTCACAAATATTTTTGTGTGTAAACAATATAGATATCACAAGTAAATATATTTGTGAATTCTAGTTTTCAGAATCTAGATGATTGGGATCCTCTTTCAGAAGACTATAATTCTTTAACTTTCAACTCGTACAGCTGGGGACCGGGAGCAAACTTGCCTGTTGAATTTTTACCACCAAGAAAAATGTAAGAATGTTTTTGATAACCTAGTTTCTAAATCTGTACAACTTATATTCTTGTGTCTGTTTATTTTGGAAGAGTTTACTTATGCTAGTTTAAAAAAAATCTTAATGTTTTAAAATGAGAAAGATTTGGTAAACATATGTTTATAAAATCCAACCCTATTTAAAATATAGTACAGTTACACAATATGTGTAGAATTACATTTGAAAATGGAAAATGTCACTTATACCTACGAACTATTGTACTGTGCTCAAACGTTTCTATGCAGTTAGGGATTCTAATTGATTTGTTTGCAACAGTTTTTAGAATTATTAATATTTACACCTGTTGATAAAGAGAGAAGATTTTTATACAGTTTGTTATATAGTGCATATTTTTCAAATTTCATTTTGGTTTAAGGTTTTTGCTTGACACTTTTTTTAATGTTTATGTCATAGGTTTATTAGCTTCACTAACAGTTTGCAAAGATACTTGGAACGTAAGTGTGAGAATAACTTAAAATACAGTATTTGTAGAAATAGTTACTATTTTCTGTAAATAGAAGCTGTAGTAAAATTATGTTTTAATATTTAACAGAGTATGTATATAAAGTATGGAAGAAAAGTTTACTGTTGCAAAATTGGTTTTGGTTTCATTTTATTTGAGATTTCAATAAAAGATATCAGTATCACAGGTCTAGTCTGGTACTTCATTTTAAGAATTAATATTTTAGATATGAGATTAGAAATTATTATATAGTTTCTAAGGTTAATGTTATGAATTTGTTTGCTAGAAAATGAGACTTAATGTACTTCAAAATGTAAGCTCATGTATGAAATTATACAACAAAATATGGACTGTTAGTTTTATTAAATAATAGAACTAAATATATGTTTAAGAAATATTAAACTTCCAATTATTATTTATAGTCATTACAGCTTTTTTCCTTTTGATGTTTGTTGCGGGAAGAGTAGTTTTTACGTGTTCACTGTAAGTGTTCAGAATTTAGATATCACATTTGATTGTATAGATTACAAGATAATTGTCAATTCTTTCTTGTATTCTTAGGCTAGGATCAGTGCAACAAGGTGATGCCAAGAAGGTTGTCCTCTTCGTCAAAGGTGTACCACCAGGAATGGAAAAGGTGACTATTAAGAAAAATATGAGGAAAAAAGTTACTTGAGTAGATGACAGATACATTTAGGATTATGTTTTTATGATAATAGATATAACTTGGACTTAGTTGTTTTTACAATAGATATAACTAGTATTTAACATCTATGGGATTTTGAGACTTTTTCTTTATCATATAGTAACCTAAATTAATTTAGTTATGTGAATAATGTTATGACATTTCATCAAATTCATTAACTCTTTCAGCACGGGCTCGGTCCCTGGGACATACTTCATAACCATTTTGTGCTTGTTATAGTTTTCATGCTATAACTTTTAAATTAGTAAGTGTATGTTAACAAAATTTGGCAGATTATCAGTAAACATTACAATGCTTTTATATGCAAAATATTTTAAGCTTTGTAAAGCAATGTTTTTCTCATGCTCTTTTTTTTCTTTTTGCATGTTGCCTATCCAACATGCAAAGTAATTTTCATTTTAAGATTAAAAATATTTTTATGCATTAGAAAATTTTCAAATTTCACATGTGAAATCTTTTTAATGTCCAAATAGTTATGAAACGTTTCTTCAGAACAAAAAACTTTATCTGTTATTTTCAGTAATGTATCTCTTATTTTTTATTATATCGACATTTCAGCTATGCCTGGCTAAAAATACAGAAGTTACAATGATGCGGTGCACATGCTCTCATGTTACCACATCCAGTAATATAAAACTGACTTTTAGTCTTTACAAAGTGACCTGTCTTGGCTGTGTTTTAGTAGACTAATGTTTTGTAAAATAGTCACATCACAATTATTATACATTATGTATGTATATAGATCATTTCTATTTAGAAATAAGTTCTTAAACTTATTTTTCTTAAAAAAAAGAACAGTAAATAAAGAAGTAAAGCAAACAGTTATCTCTTCTAGTTATGACCTTTGTACTCGGTTGTTGCTTGACATAGGTTGCTAAGCCTTTTTAAATTTTGAATGTGGAGGATATCAAACAAAGTAATTTTTAGGTATTGTATATATAATTGGATCACTGAAAAAATCATTAATTACTATATTAATTCCACTATAATTTATCAAGCTTAGTAACTAAGCTGTATTTCAGTCTAAAAATATTTCAAGCAGACTAAAGACAACCTACCTCCTTGAAATCTTGGTTTGAAAGAAAGAGATGGTGTCCTAAGAATTTAAAATGGCTGAGAAAGCTACTAGGGAGACATTTTGTGCTTTCAATAGGTTATTCATGACATATATAGAAGTAAGTGTATATGAGGGAGCTTTCCGAAAATGTAAAGAGGTGGGTGGGGTGCCACTGTTTGATTTAGTACCGAGCAATATCTTAGCAAATTGAAAAGATAAGAGGTTCTTATTTTATATTCTAGCTTGTCAATATTGGTAATTTGAGTTACTGATTCGTATGAAACTTTTGACTTGGTATTTTGACTTCACAAACATCTAATTTGAATCAGTGCTGTATTCAACATGCCATGTGACTCACAAAAATTGATCTTTATCTGTGTTTTTTTAGTATTTATTTTTAAATTAAGAAATTGAATAA